CATTCATTGTCTGTTTATTCCCCTGCATTATGTCACACCATACCTGGCTGTGAACTGCTACTGTTTAAGGGGTTTCCTTAGCACACAAAAAGAAAGAGAAAATCCCTCAAACCTAGTTTAGAGGTTCATAACAAGTATAACTGCTCTTTGGTAATCTATGCCCTCTGATTCCATTCAAACCTGAAAAAATGCAGTTTAACTTTTTGCTGGCAATGGAGCCACAGTTCTGAGAGATTGTCCAACAAATGCAGGGCCTCATGTAGAGCCCTTCTATACCAAGGAGCCATGAGTAGTGTCCATAATTTACTATTTATTCATGACCATCTCTTGCTGGTCATAAACTAATTTTTTACAAGTCAGAAAACATATAAACAGCACTGCCTTTAATGAAATGCTGATGTATATGAGGGGAATCTGTCACTACCAGTAAAGCAGCAGTGCATAGGATCAGTCTACCCAAATTTATTAGGTGGTTTTAAAAGCTTCCTTCATCCTGAAATAATTACCAAAATTGCAAGTAATTTAAATAAATAAAATAAAATAAAAAAATACTAAAATTGCTTTCTAATAATTATGTTTATCATACATACATACATATATATATATATACACATATACACATATACATATCTATATATACTATTGAGGAATAATAATTTAAATTAGTCTGGCTAACTTAATTCTATAAATTTTCTTGGAAGATTGCCTTAATTTTCACATTCCTTTTGGCTTACTGACCCCACAGAGATTTCTGTTTATAGTGTCTGCCCTGTTTAAACAATATTCTACTGTGTTTTTGGCATAATGGTATTTAACCAGGAAGGGTCAGTAAATTACTTTTACTAGTATAAAATATCAGCAGAAGGGAAAAAAAAAATAAAATAAAGAGAGAGAAAAGAGGTTTGGATAACATTTCAGGTAACCAGTGTTTAAAACTGAATTCTTAATACAAATTCATCTACAGGGCAGAGAGATATTAATTCCAAGCAGGCTGAAGTCCCTGGCCATGAAGGTTTGGTTGGGCATGGATTCAGATTTTGATTGCAGACTTCAGCCCAACAGTACAAAGGGAAAGTATACTGAACTTCAGAGGCTCACAGTTTTGATCTCATTGATTGTTTTGACTGGATAAAAGAATCAAGCATTTGGGATTAGAGCACTTAACTCTTTTAAGATTGGTTAAGAATTTATGGCTTATTAACCAATTAATGTTTCTTTAAGCTCTTAGTGCCTTAGCATGTTCTGGGCTACTCTAAATTCCTAAGGAGACTTAAGCATCTACAGTGTCTTAGCATAGTTAAGATTTCTTCCCTCATTAAAAAGACTTAATCATGTTAAGATTCCCTAAGCATTTAACAAAGTTTATATGCACTGTAGTTGTTGTCAATTCCCTTCTTAATTTCTAAACAAGCAAAATCAGTAAAGAATTGTGCAATACGAATATGAGAGATCAAGCTCTTACCTGAGACACTCAAGAAATGAAGTTAGCATCAAAGTTAGCTCAGGCACGATGACTGAGCATTTCCTTTGTGGAACAGAAACCTTCATCAAGTGCTTCTGGCTATACCACCAGAGAGAATTCTTCTGCATTGGTAAATCACCAGTGCATTGAATTACAGAAATGCCTGACCATAGAGCCCCTAATTTTTTAATTTAGGATTTGTTTTTATTGTGTTCATATATGTATCCTAAATTGCTACAGTATTCATTACTTTATGAACATATACTCCTATAGAGTTAAGCAAAAACTAACTTTTACAGGGGTCAGTAAAGCCTTTGTACGAAAGAGATCTAAGTCAGGACACAGTGCTCAATGGCACTGAGTCCTTTCTTCTCTGCTTCAGAGTATTTTGTTAAGTAAGTAAAAAACATTTATTTTAAATCATTCACATGCAAAACAAAGACTATGCAATGCTTAAATTGTGTATATATTTCATGCACTTATGTGAGGAGAAAAAATAATGAAATTAGATTGTTCATTTTGAGATAGTTGAAAAGGAAAGAAAACCACTTAAGATTATTATTGCCTGGTTTATACTTAACTCTTCTTTTAAGCATCAAGGTTGACATGACTCAGAATTGTGTTTCTTCAACTGAAAAATTCTAATTCTACTCCTAATGATTATAACAGAAGTGCAGTAAACTGTATGATTCATTGACAGTTGTTCCAGATGAAAAGATAAGTGTATCTATCCACAATGCAAAGTGAAATTTGGATTATTTTCAAAGATGCTCTGATATATGAAATGCTATTGTTGCTGCCACAAACTAAAAAAACTTCACTCTTTCCTTTTTTTAGCTTTTGAAGGAAGTGAGGACAAATTATTTTTGAGGCAGCATTTCATGGAACATGTAGTAAAATGATTTTTCTCCTTTCTTCGGTTTATTATTCTGGTGTGGATTTGTGGTTGGGGTTTTTTTAGGTTTTTTTGTGATATATGCTGTTACTTTGAGAAGACAATTTTTGAAGGTGCTTTCATTCAGTCACACAGTCTAACAGTTTCATAAAACACAAGTGCCCATTGTCATACCCAATTAAGTAACAACAATGGATGACAGTCATAGGTAACAACAGGTATCCCTCCTTTACAACAGTCACCCTTCCATGGTCCTCCCTAAACTGGTTAGTCTGCCAAACAACTTGCTTGTCTTTGATAGGAATTACCTGAGGCTAAAAACATTCACAAATGTCCGAGGCTGGATTTAAGGTACCCAAGCTTCAAGAGCTCATCACTTTATTACTGCTCTTTATATGCCTAAATTGCAATTCCCAGTTCAGCTCCAGCTGTAACAGCTCTGCAGTTCCTCAGATGATGATCTTGAATGTCCAGTCAGAAAAGAAGCATCACATGGTGAGGTGTCTAGCTGTGGAAAAGATCATTATTTTTTTACCTCCACCATACAGGACCTCTAGAGCAGAAGCAGATATAGTCCTTTATCCTCTAGTTTCCATCACTACTCCACAGTAAGTAAACTCTGTGGCTTTGCCCTGAACTCAAGGCCTACAAGCTACCCCTCTCCATTCACCGTTTTATTTTACCACAATACCCCAGACATCTTCAATTTCTGAATACTGTAAGTGATGGCAGCCACAATTCAAAAACCAAGTTCAGGTAAGATGGAATTTTGTTCATTCTTTCTGACTGACCCTGGCACAAAGTTTTTTGCCCATCATGAATCTGAAAATTCTGCCCATCTTTTCTCTCATGGCTTATGAAGATGAGTATCACTGTACATTCAAAAGTCTGATGGCAGGGACAGCCTTGCCTCTTGAAATCATTTGGGTATCTAAATTGGAGATGCCATATGTGTGCTGTATGGGGTTTGTTGAGCATCACAGTCTTCCATTTTCCCTACAGACTCAAACACTACCAGTCCAATCCAGGTTTCTCTTCCTACTGATTCCCTTTTCTCTGTAGGCATTGCAGCTGCTTCTGCAGGGCTATTCTTCTCATTCTTGAACTAATCAGCTTCCTCCAGTGTGTTGGTAGCAGCAGGTCACTAAGTGAAACAGATACCATGTCTTCTGTTCACAAACTCACCCTAGGAATGCCCAAGCCAGAGATGGAAATTTCAGTGTGAATGTAATTGCCAATGATTATTTGCTGCTGAAACTGCACTCCAGATTTGGGGCAAGAAGAATCTAACCCCACATCAAATTGCAAATGTCCATTGCCTTCCCCTGAAGTTTGTCTGGTCCTTAGGTCACCTTGAAATGTTATTTAATGACTCTATTAGCAATTCCTTCCTACCTCTTTCTCCAGCTTCTTCTGCTTCCTTCTTGCACTGAACTGGTGTAATGGGTTTCACCTCATGCTTTGTGTTTTTGGTGTAACAGAGCAAGACAAGAAAGTGTCTGAGGGCCAAGGGCTTGCAGGAGCACATGCCAGGATTGTCTGTGGAGCTTTTGGGTGCAGGCATCTACTGGACACATCAGAATTGCATGGGACTGATCTCAGCCCATCAGGCAGCTCTTTTCCATCCCAAGTTGCAGTAAATTCACATAGGCAGCAATTTTTCAAAGACTTATAAGTAGTCCATACTCAGTTGATTTTCACAGGGGAAGTAAAAAAAAAAGTGTAATTCTAAACAAAATTATCCCTTCCTGCCAATTTCAGGGCAGGGAATCAGAGCAAGTGGGCTCTGCAGTGAAAATGTATCTTGATTTTTTTTCCCCTTCTCTCCCTTCCCCCCCAGTAAAATAGAATGTTTTTCCCCAACACTCATTCTTGAAAACAGTTCTATTTATTTTAGATGAAATTTTCCAATACATCTCAGATTGAGACACAGACATGGCATGGAAAATTTTAGCCCAAGCATTCAGTGTTTGGCAAAGCTATAAGCAACTGGGACTTAAAATAGGAAGACTCTGGCAATCCAGGATGCACTAACGGCCTTCTTTCTAATGACCATTCTTGTTTGAAGGTTATTAATGTGCTCAAGAACAAGTTTGAAATTCAGAATGGACCAAAAACATTGCTGGCGTCCTGTCTGAACTTTCTAGCCTTTTTGGGAAAGTACTTTGAAAAATCTTTGGAAAGCGAAGTTGTGTGACTAAAGCCAGTATAAATCTAACTATAATTTTCTGGTAGGCTTAAGAGTTGAAATATTGTCTTCAGCTTCAATGGTGATATTAACAAAATGCAGTGTAGCGCTCGAAAAGCTACAGAAAAGGAAATTGAGAATGATCTCCAGAGATAAAGAAATGTGCAGGATGGAGTAAAGTAATTTCCATAAAAATTGTTAGATTTGTATTTAATGAATGATATTGGATCTTACATTTTTTAGATAATATCAGTTTGAGCTACTATTGTAGGTTATTATAGACTAGTGTATTATTAATAATAAATATATTCTTGAAACAAATTTTGACACTGTGCTTACCTGGTAAAGTCACCTGTTTAAAGTACTTGTGTTTTCTAATGTAGTGAAATATGATAGCACTAAATAAAACCTATTAAATTGGTAGTTTCCATCATTCTTATTATAGATCTCTCCCACAGGTGCCTGGATTATGTTTGCAGCAGATTCAGCCTTGTTCAGCAGGCCAAGGACGGTACAATCTGGTGAGTATTGTTGATTGATGGTGTATCATTATAGTACAGTCAGCCCTTTCTTTCCATGCCCCCTCCTTGTTGTTCAGCCATTAAAATAATACTTCCAGGTTAAAAATGCCACATTTTTAATGCTTATTGCATGTGAGTAACACTTTTGTGGCACATTGAAATGCCACGACACTAAGAAGAGTGCTAAATAATTGAATAAATATTGCTGTGTTTAGACTGTTCCTGTTAGTGGAGACAACTCAAAACCTGAAAGTACATTATTTGCCACAACTTGAATCAGAATATGCTCTAGCAAAAAAAAAAAAAATACTGCTGGCAACTACTGTAATGACTGGTTTAAGCCATGGTGTAGAAGCAAAACTGCCATTTTAATACCTATACGTGTATGTTTTTATGTAAAATTTAAGCAAGGTTCAATTTTTTAAATCTAGCTGAAATTTTTGATGTTCGATTCTCTAAGTAGTGATTTCATCATTTTCCTGTTCATTGGTGATTTCCTCAAAAGCTGAAAGTTGTACTTGAGTTGGACCTGTGAGATATTCAGACATTTCAATATGTGTGTGTGATGAGCAACTACTGGCCAGTGGTCACTATATTTCTGTCCTCTTGCATTAGAAATAGACCTGCAGACTGTCTAAGATTTTAGTCATACTCATGCTTGGTTTTAATCTGGCTTCCCTTGATTCCATAGCAGCACAGATGAAAATCATGTAGATCTTTCTAACTGATGCAGCAGTTAGGAAATCTGATGCTTTTGGCATATTTTTAATCTCAACACTCACAAATAGTGGGTCACAATATTTTGGTCCCTCCCATAACACATGGAACATTGAAGTGTATCCATTTATCCTTGCTTTCATGCTGGCTGTTGTGAGTAGATAAGCCAGATATGTAAAAGTTGATGACTGCAGCAGCCCCAGAACACTGATGCTTCTAATTTTTGTGGAAATCTAGTTTATGGTAACTTCTTTTTAATGTTATTATTTACTTGTTTGCAATGGTAGATGGTTTTTAAAAACAAAATTTTCAGTTCTGATTTTGTATCCAAGAATCTTGATATATTGTGGGCTCTTCTGGGATATTTTGCTGTGTGGTTCATCCACACAGCCAATTTGGACCAAGGATTAAAAAAATTAAAAATTGGGCTAATTATAAACCTGTCAAGATGGAGATTTTCTGTTCTTTGCATTACTAGATTTCAAAATGATGCAAGCCTGTGAGGATGAATGAAAGCCGTGCTGGAGAAGTCTAGGCAGTCAGGCTGGAGCTGTGAATCCCAGTCACCTAGACCTTCACAGCCTTCTAGAGCCCCCTGGTATCCATGGGTTTTCTTCAGAGGGACAGAAATCCACCTGCTTGGCTCAGCTTGCCAATGGCCCTATGAGAACAGCAAAGTGTACACATAGCTGCAGGAACTCTGAGGAAAGTTAAGAAATTGTATAAACAGGCTGCATTCTGTTCTGCTTGATCATTTTGGGGAGAGAAACTGATCCTTTCAAAAAATTGTAGGTAAGGATTCTGTTATTCCTCCAGAGATTGACAGCAACTCAGGAAAAAAGAGGCAGAAATCTAAAGAATTTTCTGGGCTGTTTTGCAGTGTTGGGTGACATCAGGTCAAGTTCAGTACAAATGCAGAATTTGCCCTGATTGCTGCTTCAGAAATTTGTAGCATTCTGGTTGCTTAGTTTCCTTGGAAATGCTGGCAGATATGTAGGGAATCAGGGGCTCTCTGGAGCAGAGATAGAAAACCCAAGACTGAGAATGACCTCTTAACATTGTATTTAAGACTCAAAGAGAGAGAATACAGAGACTCTGTATTCTAGTCGGTGGTCAGAGAACAACTATTTTTATTTTAAATGAACATACGATAAAATAATTTCTCTGCAGGATGGAGTTAAAAAGGTAAACCCTGTTTCTCTCTTGGCTTGGTCCACAGCACTTTTTTTTTTTTTTTTTTTTGGTAAGAGAACATCGCCGCCCAGACTCAAAACCAGTTTGGGACTTTCCTGCTGCCAACTGTCAGGTGTCTAAATCCTCGGTATATGCACCTTCCCAGTTAGTGCTTCTAACAGCAGCCAATAAACAAGTTCCTGTTCCCTCTGAACCTGTTTTCTTATCCCATTCCAAGTAGTCCTGAATTGTGTATAGACTTAGTTGCTCACCTACAGTCAGAGACTCTTGTGTAGCGAGGTGTCAGAAAAAGTACAAATGAACGGCAAATAGACCAGAACCGCCGTATCTGGTTGCCAGCTCCTAATTGCAACTGGAGGTGCTGATATCTGCTTTCACACATTTGCTTTTAATCAACAAAAACTATGTGTCTGTGATGAGAAACTAATCCTATATGACACAGGGTGTCAGATCTCATTGCCATTATCTTGTTTAGCTTTAGATCTGTTGTTTGGATCTGAATTTTTTGTTTTAATTTTAAGGGGAAAATAAAGAAAAATTATTATAGCCTAAAACATTCACCTATGTAATTCTTCTTGCCTAAATTACTGCTTTTCAATAGCAAGTTTTCTTTAAGTATGGCAATGCAGTTTTGGCATGACATAATGCATAGTTCTTATGTTTCTCCTTGTAAAATTCCACTATGGTCATCATTTCCAGCAGATCCTCCAAAAATTTTGCTCTTGGCTCTTATTTTATAAGTACAATGAAGGCTGTGCCAATAGCACGGGCTTATCTAGCTTGATTACAACAGTTACAGTCTGGTTTTCCAGCCTTAGGAAACAACTGAAACAATATTGATTTGCTTCAAGCCTGCCAGTTTAACTGGCACCATAATCAAGATTCCAGTAGCTTTCTAAATTTGGTGGGTTTTTTTCCCAGTGTATCTGCCATGAATACAACTTTATTAAAAATAAGGAAACGCATGCTGGTTTAACATTTTTTTTTACACTATTTCAGACTGGAAGATTTGCTTCTGTCGGTGTCATGAACTTTTTCTATTAATTTTTTAAGCAATGTGGTCACATAAGTTTTTGGTGGGAACCTGAACACTCCAGCATTGTTTAGGAAGCTACACTTTACTCAAAAAGTTCTTGGTTAACTTGAGGTGGCATTTTCTTTCTCACTATAGGTTGAAAACATGTCCTGTTCATTGATACAGCTTTGAGATATAAAAATGCAACCACTAATGTACACAATTCAACTAAAGCTATACTGAACTTATTCTTAGATTTGAAAAAAAATCACAAATCCCTTTATGTGGGATATAAACACAGAAAAGGTCAACCCTAAAGAAGCCTTAGAAATTAGTGATAAAATAAGAAATAGAACTGAAATTTAATTTTAACCTTATAGTTCTCCATTTGCTGTAATGCACGGATGAACATCTAGTACTGGTATAAAAAAAGAGTAGCAAGAATGTGTGCTCATGGCTTAATATTTTACTCTGAAATTCCAGCTACACACTTTGTAGAAAATTAATTAATTACTCAGCTAAGCCAAGTTTGGGCACTCACACCAATTCTTGTGAAAATAGACGGCACCCCACTATTGGAAGGGTGTTAGCAGAATTTTGTTGTTTACCATATTAATTTCTTCAAACAAATGCCTAATATTCCATTTCTTCCGTCACAAAAAACCTTCCAGAGGCATATATACATACAACTATCAATTGTTGTTATTATGCTGTTAGGCAAAAAGAGGTGGAGAGGAACTTTGAATATATGGAAGAAGACACTTTTAAGAGTGATGACGAACATGACTTTAAAATATCAGGCCTTTCCCACAACACATGGCAGAGCAAACATGGCTGGTATCTATGTTAAAAAGAGGCAGCGTGGAAATCATACTTATTTAACACTAATGCTTTCAAGTTTCTTCTTTGGCAAGATAAAAGAGTCCTAAAATGTAACAATTGAGTATCTTATGTTTTCATATTGATGTGCAAGTGGTGACATATTCTTATTTTTTATTTATATACCTAACAAGCACAAGCATCTAATCAGATGAAAGTAAACACTAGTATCTTTAACACAAAACATTTCCAAAGCATTTCTGATGTCTATAAAAATTCTATTATATTTATGCTTTAAACATCTTTGTTTTTTCAGTATTTTCCAGTCAGAAGTGAAAGGTTTGCTTATACAGTTCTGCTGAATCCACTTGAACACTTTTGCCTTGTGAATTGGGAATGAAATATCCCCTGTACACTGAAGGGTTTTACTCCTAGGATTTGATCACTCCAAAACAGATACTGAGAAGTTGAATTAAATACTTATTTAAGAAATTAAGTAGGAAATAACATAATTTAACTGAAAACAGAGAGTAAAGTTTGATTATTGGAGGAATGAGCTACATTTCACCCAGACCATCGTGGTTTGGAATACTGCAGGGAGTTATAAGGATATCATAACAGCAAGCTGCAGCTGGGCCCCAATTTATGAACTGTAACCTCCACAGTCTTTTAAAGTTTGTTTTTCCTTTACTTTAACTAACCGGTCTTAGAAGTTCTTTTTGAAATTTAGCATATGAGAAAGATCACTAAAAAAAAACCAATTTGCTGTTTCAATACTTTTTTCTCTTAGATTACAAAATGGATATTTTGAAAAAAAAAAATTAATTACTTTTAACAATTGCTATATGGGTTTCATTCCAAATCCAAAGATCCTCACTCAGTTTTTTAGTTTTAGAGGAAACTATTGATGGATGCATTGGATTGAAGAGGCAAGATGCATCATTTCACCTGCTTGGGACTGGATGCAAAAGGTGATTGAAATGCACAGCAAAATATTATTACTCGACATCTTTTCAGAGCGTTGAGTAATTTCATTAATCTTTTAATATTCTTTCAATTTTCTTTTAAATATCTTTTAATATATGCACTGAGAACTGAGGTATCAAGAAGTTCCTTTTCTTGTTTGGTTTTGTTTTGTTTTTTTCCCCTAAGTTGGACCAGGGCTGCCTGACCTGACCACCCCACTCCACCTGGGTAAGGAGTGCGTGTCCCTGTCCCCAGCCCTCATCCCGAAGCGGCTGCTCCCGGGAGGGGACGGGTTGAGCTACGGGCGAACACCTGGATCCTGGAAATACCTGGAGTCCGGGAACGGTACCGCAGGACACAGTGCCCGAAGTCAGGGCATTGTGAACTGCTCTGGGAATAAAGGCACTGCAGAAATACACTGGGTTTTTTTTAGATGAGTGTCATTGCTTTAATAGAAAGTACTTTAAAGAGGTTTCCGTAGCCTCTTCAGCGTGCAAAATACAAAGCAAAACAAAAACCGCAAACAAATCAAAGCACCCAAACTATCGAGAAGAACCACCATCAACAACGAGTGCTGTGTTGCGGTTCCTCTCCCCTCTCGCTCCCCCGAGGCCGCGGTGAGGGAGCGGCGCTGCCCGCGGGCTCGGCCGGCGGCGATCGCCGCTCAGGACGGCTCTGCCCGGCGCTCTTTCCCTCCCTCGGGCGGGACTCCAGCTCACCCCGGCTGCCGCAGGTGCCCGGCGCCGCTCTCTGCCGCCCTGCCGGGGCCGGGCTCTGCTCTGCCCGGGCACCAGCGCCCGCCCTCCGCAGGTGCGCGGGGCC